AGTCTGTGAAGCTCTGTGTCGGAAGGCACAGGGCCAAACTCTACACCTTCTATGACCCTCACATCTGTATTGTGTGGTCTGCAAGCCACTTATACTCAGAACAAGAAAATGGCTTTCTTACAAGCAAAAAAAAAAATCACTATTCATTTTCTTCAAACCTCTCCCCTACTATTTTGTGCTTTCCTCCAACTTCTTCCTTCTTAGTCAGGTAAGGCAGTTGACCTCTTTAACTAACTCTGCAACATAGCCCTCTGAATACGGCTTTCCAGCAAGTGGTGTTTATGTTTATAAATATGATTTTCTTGCATTGTAAGTCAACAATTAACTATCCAAGTCCCCAGGGCAAAGACATCAAAAGAAAAGCAGAAGTCCATAATACATTATATTCACTGTGTCACAAGCAGCATGCACCAGTAGGTTGCATAGATCAGACTCTCAATTCTTCTCCAAGAGGTATCAAGCCTTTATGTAAGTCATGGAAGCCCAAAATGCCCTCAGAGCTGCTCACACCAAGCCACAAATCCAGGCCACTGCCTCCTTCTGCAGCATGGAACAGCAAGGACAGTGTCTGAAGTGAGCAAATAAAGAAGGAAAGAGATTAAGCTATTCCTTTGCCTGTCCCTAGCGATTTGGGGAGCAAGAAAGGAGAGAAAATAGTCCCATTCCCTCTCTCAGGGAAGTGTAACCACTCCCTGGGAGAAGCGCTGAGTGTACAGGTTCTGCTAAGCCCTGCAGAAAGAGTTACCTTCAAGTTACCTTCATCACAGGCACCTCCGGCTTTCCTACAAAATTATGCCAGGGAAGAACTTGTCCATTTTAGCTTACTGATATCCTCACCTTATGTCCTGCTCCAATAACCATGCCATGCTGCCACCAGTCATTGCATTTGTTATATCTAAGAGGATGTAAGCTCTGAAGAACATGAACTTTGTCTGCTTACCAAACATTAAACAGCCTGCAAGCAAGATCCACACAAAATGCTTTTCGTGCAGTATCCCTGGGCAAGAAGGGGTAATGCTGGGTCCCCAGTGAAACCTGGCTGCAGGTGACAACATAAGCTGGTGACACTCCTTGCATCAGGTAACTTATGCCAGGAAAAGGTCTGGCTTCACAAAGTGAACACCCGTGAAAGAAAAACAATTTAATGGGAAGTCATTTGTCATACTAATGGTCTTATATTAATGGACACCATTAAAGAATTGTAAGCAAGAGACTGGTAATGAGCAAGTCAGTGTTATCATTTGCTCTCATTTTGCAGGCTGGCTCAGGACCAATTCTTCATTTTTTTATTGTAAAGGAGAACAGATTAACAAGACAGATAAGGAAATCAAAGTAATTAGGCATATAAACAAGCTGTCAGGTAAACAATTGTGATTCAGTGAGGCAACTGTCAACCTCTAAAGGAAGGATGGTACACATTTGTATTATTTTCTTTTTAGTCTTATTTTATCTCATTTCATATTACTTCTAACTTGATCATTAGCATCCTTACAAAGCGCAAGACTGAGCTGAGCACGTGTTCAGCTCCTGCACTGCAAGGCTTGCTTAACCCCACTCTGAGGATGTGCACTGGGAGGGCTTCCATCGCAGCACTGAGAATTTGGCCACGCGGAAGATGGCCAGCCCTCCCCGTGGGTAAGAGTATGAGTTCATCTACTGCAGAAATAAGACTAGACAGCAAGTTTAGACTATGGCTTTTCTCCCAGCTTTCCCAAATTTTGAGACATCAGACCCCCGGGAAGAGTCCCTCCCCAGGGGTGACCTTGACACGCAACCCTGGTTAATACAGGCTGGATGTAGGATCTGATTCAGCCCATTTAACCTCAGGCATCTTACGAAGCACTCGATTTAGTTTTCACTAGTGCCTCACGTAATCAGCACAGAGAGATCAGTGCCTGTGGTGAACAATCTCAGGTATCGTAGCCTCTCTCATGAAGAAGTGGGACAGTACAGTAATTCTCAATGCTAGTTCATAGCTCTATATTAATTTGAAGTGATTCATTCCTTTGAAAGTCAGCACTGCCTAAAAATTGTTTCCAACTCCCCAAAACACAGACTGCTATCATATTTTTAAACCAATTCAGCTTAATGTGCCATTCAGAAACCCACACCATTGCTTTGCTACTAAGACTAGTTATTTTCCCAAATGTTACAGTACCCTGATTCCACGTCTGCTGAAGATATGACGCAGTCTCAGAGTTTCTGCTGTAGTGTACGATGATTAATTTTAGTCTATGCAAGTGGGCGGTAGAATGAAGGGAAAAGCAGTCATGGAAGCCAGTATCTGTATCCAACTAGGGGAAGATTAGCAGTACCTAAACACAATAATGTCTCAGCAGGGAATATACGAAACAAGTAAACATTTGAAATAGCACATCCCAAGTGGTGCACCCAGCATATCCCAAACTGTACATCTGGCAAATAAATTGGGTATTCTGTACTATGAATGTGCCAGAGGGAACCTCTGTTTAGCTCTCTGCTTTTGGTTGAGGATTTTAGTAGTATGTGAGCAGTTCTGTGCATACAAATACACTCCTTAAAGCTGTCATCCATCTGCATAAGCACATGAGCGACTTTAATACATGGATGCATAGATATAATAAATATGGTTTTTTCCTAATGATTTTTCCATATGAACAAGCAAACCCTAATGCAGCAAGCAGGCAGCAGAATGGATGGGGTATGCAGGCAGTGGCCGTGCCTGAAAAGATATATGGATACGTGTGTTTGTGTGAATTCCTGTTTGCATTAATTGATGTCCACAAAAGCTACGCGCTATATGAGCCTAGAAAAGCAGATCTGAAAAAATATTTTATACTTCACATCCATTATGTACTTTTGCTGTCAACTCTGATCCTGAGATCATTGAAATAACTGGGAAACTTATGATGACATAAAAGTCCCCAATGCAATTTATTATCAGTTTGTAGCTAATACAATTCTAAAGGTAAATATTTCTAGAGATAAATTTTGTAATTAAAAAAATAATTTTGATAAAAATGAGTATTTTGGGAATTTGTTTCACAGAATCACAGTTTTTTATAAACCACAAATGCTGAAATTCCCTTTAAATCAAATTTCAGTTTTTGACAAGCTCAGCTGTAAAGAATAGGACAACTGGCAATCTTTGAAACTTTTAACACTTTATGTATGACAGAAAAAGAGTTGTTGAAGACTGAATGTTTACCAGACCATTTTATTTTCTAGAAATGAAAGTAGGAATTTTTTTCATCTGTGACCCTATTCACATCTGTCTATGTATGTGACAACTACAAACTTTAAATGCAAGCTCTTCAGCATGGGCTGGATCTTATGTCTGTAAAGCATCTAACACACTTCGGTGTGCTAAGTAAATGAATAAAATAATAGCCTCAAAAATTCAAATTATTATTCGCTGTATAGTCATAAACTTCTCAGAAAACTAATAGGCTTTTCAAGTAGTCAAAAGTACTTTCTTAAAAACACCTACTGTTCTTTGCTAGGTGTAGCTAACATAATTAAACTATCCACTTTAAGATAGTTTCTTTCATTTTAGCCTAAGAGCAATAAATCATCATCTTGAGACTTCTGTTTCCACGAGGCACCTCAATGGAACAACCTCAAAATCCTGCAAAACCCCTACCCCCTTTGACAGGAAGAGATGGATGGAAAGAAAACCCCCAAACTTTCGGAAGAAAGGCAGACTCATCATAGCCATTAAACCAATCACTACATCAAGACCATAGTCAAAGTATCCAAATTCTGGGGTCTCATCTGGTGGACTACATGGGTTGAGCACATAGGTGCTGCCAAAAGGGCTCTGCACTCTTCAGACTTGCACGAGTTCAGGACTGGTGAGAGTCGGCCAGATTTCCTCCTGAAGTCTCCTGCTGTGGCACAGCTAGAGCTGAAAAAGTTGAAGCTGAAGAAGGCAGAATTCAGTCCTCAGTTCTTCCAAATATACCTCAGAATTAAAGACATTTCTTGATTTTTGATGACTTTTGCATTTGTCAGCTTAATAGGATGAAAGGAAATAGCAAAAGAAAAAATATGGACTTTTGTATTACAAATACACCTTTTAGTAAGACATATTTGTGTACTGAAGGTCGTCAGGAGACAACCTTTCTCTAGAGAGCTGCTGTTCATCACCAGTGAACACTGCAGTGAAACCTGGATGGCAGCAAGTAATGTAAACCTTGACTCACTGTGTTTTCAAAAGGAAAATAGGGCCATGGTGTATATTTTGCAGGAAAAAAAAAAGACACCACACAAGGATTGCTTTCTGTTCCCAGTCCAGAAGCTGCAGAGAGGTCACAGGCGTTGAACTGAGGGCAGTAATTCATCCAAATACCACAGACCAGAAACTGGTTTCCAATGAGAAACCAGGACTTTATTTTGGGCCCTCATCAAGCAAGTGCAATAACAATTTCATAGAACAGTAAACTCCACCGCAAACTTCAACTGCAGTCAATATAGTACTTGGCAATGACATCAGTCAATGTCCAGAGTACAAGGGATTGCATTCTTCCTTATGAAATAACTGAGACGCCACTCACTCCTCTTTTTGAAAGCTGGCCCACAAGAGCCAACAGCTGTAGCTGACACCCAACACACTGGAAATACCAGCTCCAAGCTCTACCTTATAACATTTGCTTATTTTACTCTAGCTTCTGTTTATTTAAAGTTATATTCTGCCATCCGATATGTGACACAATGCATACACAGACCCACATAAATCAGTGGGGCTAACTACCTGCTGAGGCATTCCCAAATAACCATTGTTTTCCTATCATGAGTCAAGGCATCATGAAAAATTAGAAGGAAGGTGAATAAAATCTGAAAACATGTACAATTCATACCACTGCAAATGCTGATCTAAAGGCTGTCTACCAGAGACCAACTTTTTTTATTATCACGTGTTTTATAATGGCATACTATCCAACACAACTGCACCAGGTGATTGATAACAAGTATTGTAAAATGTCACAGATCAATAGAGAGCATAGTGGTTGCTAATTTACCTCCATCTTGGGAGTTCATGATATTCAGAGCAAACAGCATTGCATTGGAGAACGTGGTAGCCTCTTCTTTGCTTGCAAAATTCAAGCCATAGACCTGTCGTGCATCGCGCCATTGATGAAAGGTAGGTGTTGCTTGATTGTACTTCAGTCCTTTCACAATTGAGTAATTAATCACTACCTGTGATTTGAAAGAGAGGGGTAAACATTAAAAATAGTTCTGTTTTCAGTGGGAAAAAATCTCAACCTTTTGGTAAATGTTAATTAAATTGGTAGAGGCAATTCATAACGACAGCTCCTACATGGCTGTACGGTAAGGCAGTGTGTGTTTCGATGACAGAAGACCCACATCTGGGGGTGAGACTTACAACGGTTCAAGTCAGCCTCAGGGACTTGCAAGCTAGTTTTGCAAGATCTATTACCTGCTCGTGTTTTCTACAGCACCTCCACAGAATACAGCTGTGCAGATACTGCAGACAGATGTCAGGAGCCAGGGCCAGCAGCTGTTGCCATCTTTTGGGGAATGATCATGCACAACTGTCAGAAAAAGAGCCAGACAGAGCTCTTGGCACTAACCCTGCCCTACAGCAGAAAAATATTTGACTCATTTCAGGGCTCTGCTTTTCTCCTCCCATGCACCTGATCACCACCAGCTTCTTATGTTGAGAGAGTTTTTTCTCTAGAATCAGATAGGCAGTGACAAAATCAGACAACTAAATATTTCCTCTCCCACCTCCTCCCTTGCTGTATGTGCTATAATTGCCAGGTAAGAGGTGACTGTATCAGAAGGGTGTTTCTGTATGTTTTGATTTAATCTGCTAAATACAATGCCCTCTTTATCCTTGGGTGGGGCATATGGGACTCTCAACTACACAGTACACCTGGGATCCGACCAGAAACCTCCAATGCTAAAAGTATAGGCTTGAGGTGGAGAGGCAGGAGCATCCACTGCACCACTAATAAGCCAGACCTGTGGCAGAGAGCACCCCCGAGATACTCATCTGTGGGCTGACAATGGCACTCTGTTGTGACGCAAATTAAAGAAACAAAATTGTCAACAGAAAGGATCACAATTTATCTCATAAACAGACACGGTGCAGTTGAAAAAAGAGAAGGAGTAGGAAACTGAAGCTCCCTCTTTGTCAGCCCACAGAGGCTGGGGGCAGTAAGAAACAAGGGACAGAGAAACTTAAAATTATGAGCAGGGGAAGTCTGAAGTTCATTATTCAAATATAGCAAATCTGGTTTTGAATATTGAAGATTGTCTCTAGAAATGGAGAAACTTGGGCTGGAGTTTTATCAAGAGCCAGAACAATCCCACAATTTCTGGTCCTCGTTGAAAATCAGTCAATGGAAATCCTCCATCAAAGTAGTTTGCATCATTACTGTCGTTATTATTTTAATTTTGTTTTATTTCAATTATTTAATTGTTATCTCAACCCATGAGTCTCCTTACCTTTATCCCTCCGATTCTCTTCCCCATCCCCTGGGATGGGGGAGGGTAAGTGAACAGCTTCATGGTATTTGACCACTGGCTGGTGGTCAAATTTTTAAGTTTCCCAACCACTTCTGAGTATCTTAACCAAGGGAGAGCACAGCCAGTATCTTCGAGAAAATGTTTAGAAAGACTGTCAGCTTCTATCAGGCTTTCCAAAGTGAGTATTTCTCACCTACTAACAGAATCTTCCATTTCAAAGGACAGCACTATCAAAGTCCAAAGAGCACCAGGGAGTGTAGTGCAGTTGTATAATGAAAGACAGAAATTGTAAAAACCTATGCCAAAAATCATTTAATAGAAGTGAGGTAAACTGTTCAAAGTTTGCTTTCCTAAAACATCAACTCAAGGAACTCAGAGCATCCACTCTATTCTGAGAGTTTGATCCCTTCAGCTGAATAAAGACCAAATTTGAATGTTGACTTTCATTGATCATCAGGATCCCTATACATCTAATACCTTGTCTTCAAACTCAGAGAGCTTAAAACTAGAAAATGAAATACAAAATATCCAGAGTTTCATTTTACCTCCTTTGGCTAATGTTTCTAGAAAACAGAAAAAATAGGATGAGTTCTCTTGTGAGTGCACACAGTGTCCAGTACAGATGGCGTTGAGACTCTGCAAGGCACAAGGTGATAACTAAGTGCTCCAGAGCAGTAATTCAAATAAAGAAGGTCGCCCTGTTTGGAGCATAGGGGGTTTTTTACAGGTGTTTCTAAAGGATCTTTATTATAAAGCTTCATATGTCATTAAGATAGCATCTGCCATGCTGAGTAGACCAACAGTCCATTTTTTAATCGTCTTTAATCTGTCTATAATAGGTGAATTGGAGAAACATACCGGAAATCCTGCAGAAATAAGTAATGGATGTGCCCACAACAAACAGTTCTTCCTACAACTCTTCACCCAGAGTTTGTCTTAAAAGCTGAAACATGACATTTCATGTGCCCATTTTTTTCTTTGCCAACCCCTTTTAGTATTTACTATTCTGAAACAACCAGTCTTGTTACTGACAAAAACATCTGTGTTGTTTTGTATCCTGTTAAATTCTGGATTTTGATGATCACATATGCAAGGAGTTTCACAGACCAGTTGTTCATAGTATTAATAAGTTGACAGCTTTCAATGTTCCCATCACTATAATGTTAAAAAGATTTGCTTCCGTTCTACCTGCTACTTTCCTTCATCCTTTCATCTCGGTTTCAATTGTAGGCTCTTTGGGCCAGGCAGGGAATTTGGGGATCTATTTAAAAGCTCAAAAATGGGAAGCCCTTCCCTTTGACTGCAGTCTGCAGGCATGTAGGCAGCTGAGTTGAAGTTGTCAGCAGTGATGATGGTGGGCTAGAATGGGGCTAGAAGGGATCAAATGGCCTCAGGACCACATCTGAGATCACAGGAAGAACGCCCACACAAGCCTTACCACCCATTGAACCGGAACAAGTCATTTGCTTGTTTCTCCAGAGTATAAAAAGGTTTAGAAGTTTGTTACCAGCTCGGGGTGCACCGCACTGCCAGTGCCCAGACTCCTCTCATGGGGAGCAGTCATATGATTGCTAAAACAGGGAGGGTATGGCATAGCTGCTAAAAGCAGCTACAGTTGAGGCCAGATTCTTTATTTCTGCAAGCAGGCCCAAACCTGACCAACTTCTAATAAGTTACAGCAGTGATTAACTGGTTCTCTGTTTTTCAAAAAATGTGGTTTGGTTTATATCCCAAGAATGCTGTCCCCATTCCAGTTTTGGCTTAGGCTCAAATATAAAATGTCACGCCCTCCCCAAGGCCCCGTTTTCACAGTCACTTCTCAGCCACATCAATACACCAAACCCTCAGGAGATATGATTCACTTTTGACTTGCACCCTCCTCCTCGCCTATCTGTTCAGCACATGCCTTTCCATGATGAGATCATCCTGAGCTGAAATCACTTGATGTAAAATCATCATTTTGAACCCTCAGCTGGTCAGGACTCTGAACTGGGGAGCTACTGCTTGTCAGCTAAGCCATGAAGTTGGAGCACTTGGATGTTTTTAGCTTTGCGAACTTCCCGCTTGGTGACTGACGCTAACACACTTCACCTTCACAACAGGCTATGTCACAATGGCAGCTGGCAAGTCACAGCATAGGGCTAAAGCGTTTGCTTGTGGTGGTTGGGCTATGAGAAAATGAAGGCTGCAGGGAAACCTCAAAGCTCATGACGTCAAGCGATTGCAACACTGATCTGGCCTTAGCTTCAAACCAGTTCTGCCCTCTGTGGCTACTCCAAAGCTTGAAAAGCCTACTTCTGGTTTTGTGAAGATTACTGCTCATGCCAGCATGAGTCTACGCAAATGTGCACGTCTGTGCAGAGCAGAAAGGGGAATTCATGTACTGCTGGTCTGTAGCCTCGCGCAGCTGCTGCTGCTGCACGCGAGCACACGATAAGCATGTCGCCCAGGCACATACGGAGAACAAGAGGTCAGTGATCACTTCCCAGTGGTGAGAATGATGACCGAGTTCTGCCACTCTAAAAAGCATATTTCTTTGCAGTCAACTTTTTAGACACCGTCAGCTAGAGAAGAAGATAAATACAGATAAGGTAGAGGTAGGCAGAATGAGAAGAAGTATCATAAACTCTAACGCATGCACTGAAAAAGGGCAAGAAAAGAGAAAGGCAGCTATACAAAGACAACAAAAGGAGACTACAGATTTGGGAAAAAAAAAAGAGGATGAAAATTAAAGAGAGAGGTTATTAGAGGTGTAATATAAACCAGCAAAAATTAAAAGGGAAACATGAAATGCAGGCAGGGGTGAAGTCATGAACATTACTGTAATCTGTGCCTTGCCAAACAGTATGTAATAGAACTTAAAATTGTTCCTCTGTGGTATTGTTGTGTTACATATTTTAAACTAGTTTATCAACTTTTGGAAATCTGTGTAGCTTCATTAGCTTCATTGTATGCCAAATCACATATTAGCTGAAGATTGGTCCTTTTCAGAAAAATATGGCTTTCCTGGCAAAGCAACAGCTTTTATTAAAACCTCACTTTCAGTGTGATTTAGCACAACCTGAGAGCAAGCATGAAATGGCTTGTACAGAGAATTATTTTAACTGAAATTCATTTTTGTTCTCTTTAAATGCAAATACTTAGCACGCCTAGCAAGTTTATAAATCCATGTGAGACTAATATAAAGTATATTAAATTCAGAATACTGAGATTTTCAGAACATTCCTTTTAATATTACTATGCTATGCTGCCCTGAATTTACTTTATTCATAATACTGGATTCTTGTGATAATATTTAAGGTGAATATTTTATTTTAGACAGTTTAAAGTGATTAAGGTAACCTGTACTTTTTTTGTTTGTTCATTGGAGGGAGGATTTTTAGCCTTTGAACTCTAAAAAATATATTCTTATATCTGGTTCTTTCTGAATTGAGAAGATTTTTAGATGGCATGCAGGCTCTTCATAAGCAGGAACATTTGCAAGCAAACAGAATGTTACAGTTAATGCAAAACATGTTTAAAGTACAGATCAAGATTTGAATTTTTAATGTATCTTATTCTTTAAATTGAATACTCTGATTAAGACAGACGTCCAGTATATAGTCTCCCTTACATATATGTATGTAGACTTTATAACTTTTGCTTGATTTACACCAAATATTCAGATGCATGTTAGATTGCAGTCACATACAAATCATTTACATTCACCTGCTGACTGCATAAAATAAAAAGCTAGCATGGCCTGTTATGAAGCAGTACTGGCTTTCACAACTAAGAAGCCAATGTATTTAATTTATTTTCAGAAATATCTTCTATTTCTTGTGTTTGCTCTGCTGAGAAGGACAAAAGCAGAGGCAAAAGATATGGCAGGTGTTTCAAAAGTGCACTGCAAGGATCTGAAAACTGATGTGCTAAAGCCCCCCACCCATTTCTGTTCTGCTTTTCCTTTTTCAGAACTATGACTGTGTATAGGGGCGGTGTAGCAAAGCCATTAACACTTCCAATAAGCAACCTGGCTAGCTTTTCCAGTCGGCCCAAGCATCACTATAGCTGACAGCTGAGGGATATCATCTGCATTTCTATGAGCAGATCGCTCAATTTAACACTTGTGGCAGCTGAGAGGTGCTGGTGGCCTGGCTCCTGCTCTCCACCTTGGCTGGGTGTGCCCTGCCCCTGCCCGTCTCACACTGGCTGCAGTGCTCATCACACCTTCCGAGGAGGCAACACCACTCTCTGTACCAGCAGAAAATCAATTGCTCACTTTATTCTGAGTCTTCTGCCAGCTTGAGGGCTGGAGGTGAGCGTGGGATGCTGGCAGCCTGGGCAACCTGGGTTGCCACTGCTGTACCGGCCTCATGCCAGCACACAGAGGGAGTCCCCAGCTTAAATTTCTGCTCTAAAATGCAAATGGCACTATGGTATAGCACCGCTACTCCACCCAAGTTTTATTATTTAGGGTCTGAACAGGACATTTGGTGATGGAGCTTCTGCTGGCAGGCACTGCCCAGCATCCCCGCCAGCCAGGCTGCCCAGAGCCACACCACATCAGCCCCGGGCTGAGGACCGCACCTCGGTGGCCGGGGAGGGTCTGATCCCAGTTCTGATTATCTAAATCCCATGTAACTCCTTTAATACCCAAGGAGGTCCTGTGGACTTAGGCTGCCGCAAATCAGATCACAGTGTGCACCTAAGAATTTAAAATGCATTACGAGGAACTAATTACTTCTCACAGCAATGTAACAATCACACTTTATGAGATGGAAGTGCAGAATGATTTATTTATTTTCTTTTTTATATATAGTATTAAAAATAAGCAAAAAATAAGTTAGGTGGAGCCGAGAGCAAAACCTGCAGAACAAAATAAGATTAATTTCACAATTGAAAATGGAGCGGGAAAAAAAAAAATAAAATCTCCCTGGCATTTACCAAAAGTTCTGTTTGCAAATAAGCAGTAGTAAATTATGATATATTCTGTGCACAAAAAATTTATACAAAATCGGAATGACTGGAGTAAACAGGCACCTTGCAGGGAGCAGGAAATGTTGCTAGACTGCCTTAAGTACAGAACTGATGGTATCAAGGGAGATCAAAGGTTCATTTACAGGAAACTCGATACAGTTACTCACTTGTTGATCTTGCAGTTTAACTCCAACTACCCTGAAGGTGTTAGTGGCTGTGTTGTGGTATATGTTGATTCTGCTGAATCCCTGCTGTCCAGGTTTGATTGGCACCCATTTCTTACTGGTATCGTCATAGACCATAACTGAAGCCCGGGCTTGGCAAATACTCTGTTCACTGAAGAGAAAACAAAAAAAAAAAAAAACAAAAAAAAAAAACCAAACCAAAATGAGGGGAAAATACAGTGAGTTTGCTGCATGCTACTGGAAACATCTAAAGGAAAAGAAACCAACAGAAATTATCAGAACTACTTACAACATATGTTTCACAAGAGATCTGCTAATCCTTTGAATGCAGTCTGCCTGTTAAATTAAATCTGGCACGTATGTGTTCATAGATTTAAAAAACCTCCAGTATGCTGCTGTTTTGAACTGATAATCTGTTTTATATAAAAATATTAGGCCCTGAGGAACAACCTGTATCACACAAACATTATGAAAACTGTCCAACAGTATGAATGCTCCATTTATTTTATGCACCTATTGGCAAGTCAAGCCTTTCACACTTGCATGAAAATTTACCAATATTTTACAGCTTACTGACAAAATAAACATGACATCCACAGCTGAGTTACACATTTAAAACTGGAAGCAAGCAGACCTTGAACCAAAAGCCACGTTAGGTAAACTGAAGAACTCAATTACGTTAATCCATCTGATGCCTAATACCCAGACCTGCTGACGCAGTTGGAAGTCCCAGAATACATGGTGCAAAACACAGAGCAACTCTTTTCCTTCTTCCTAGTAGCAAAGAAAGTGGAAAAACTGTCTGCATTTCAGTGTTGAAGTACATAGCCATTATTTTGTATAGCATTAATAACCATTTTTCTTCTGTAGATTCACAAAAAATAATCAGTTCTTCACCTCTTGCTTGCACAGTCGTGACTTATATACGTATACTAGATTTGTGCTAAACCACACCTTTCATGTGCAAGAAATGCCACTGGCAAATAATGTTGAGGTGACATCTCAATATGGATCAGGATTTCAGTTCCCACTCTCCTGACTTCCCAGCCACTCTTCTTATACCAGAGGAAATAACAGTTCCTCATCCAAAGAAAAAAAATGAATTCTCCAAATTTTTGATATCTGAGATCTTAAAATGTAACAGGGATATCCAATGAGCAAATAGTGCATGTTAGACCTACATAAACGTGTTAGGATTTACGTCCTGCAAAGATCTTAAGTTCATGACCATCCTATTAACTTTAGACCTATATGTATTTATATACACCTCCCTTCCTTAGCCCAAGCTGTATTAAATAATTTTCAGCCATGCAATATCAAGTGGTAATCCGCTTTGCTCTCAAATCCTTTTTTCCCCCTCTTGCGTATAATTCTTTGTTTTGGGTTTGTCTCAGTAATGCCTCACAAACACTCAAACAAATAAAGGAGAAGCTCCTGGGTGCTACTGAACCATATCACTGCACTGCCACCACGCCAAATTACACCACTTGTAAATTATACCAACTGCTGCAAACCCAGACCCACCTGACCCCCTCACTGTCATCATTTTAATGAAAGGGAGCACGTTACCCTTAGTATTAAGAGGATCTGGGTAGATTACAGCAGCAATTTTCAATCTCTTCTGATTTGTGGGTCTCAAAAAGATTTCCAAGGCAGATGCATCCCCAATTGTACACTAAAGCCGACTGGCACTTGGCTTGTTTTACCATCACTTCACACAGCCTCCAGGTAGCCCACAGACCTCCTCCAGGCTGTGGGTAAGAGCCTGGAAACTCTTCACAGTGTTTACAGAGGGAGCAGCAATGCTGGCAGACATCTCCATAAAGAATAAGGTAAGAAAATTCAGAACAAAGTGTATTTTTATTACGTAGCATGGAAATAGCTAGAGTCTGTTATTGGAGAAATATATTCAGATCAGAAAGACAAAACATTATTTTATTTATATTCTTCAGAATTTATAAAATCAAGTTCATCTACCAGTTGCTGTTGCTTTGCTATGTGAGACACCTGGAGAACAGCTGTGCCTTTGCTAATGTACCCAACAAATACCTCTCCATCGCTTTTTTTAAGTTAAGCTAATGTCTTGTGGCAGCTTCTCTGTATCTGACACTAGCATCGGAGGGATTTGAGCTCACTCTAGCCTGCCTAATCCTCCAGCTGGTGCAAGAGCCGCAGACTGGCAGCAGTGGCAGCATTGCCTGCATCCTCTGGACCTGCCCTGGGACTCTCACTCTGCCTCGGATTCACAGATGGGGAGGACGGGAGAGAAATGCACCAGCAAAAAGGCAAGTACGCTGGATTAGCTTTGTCATGTGAAGCAGAATGGCTAAAAATAACCTCTGGTGTGGTCCTGTGGCTGGATGGCACCCACCTGCCTGTGCTACCAGGTGTCTTGTGCCACCTCTATCATCAGCTGCCTGGCGACAGAGCAACCCCCTGCCCAGCAAGCCTGAAGGCTCCCAGAAAACATGATCCCTGGGAGAGTGCCCCTCAGCCAGCATGACACCAGATCCTTCTCCTCAAGCCTTGCCCCTCGCTACAAGCCTCACTGTGTTAAAGTAACCAAGAGCACGCCGCTGGTTTCAGCAGAGCAAGACTGGCACCCAATGTTGTCTCCATTTCAGATGAATTTTGGAGCCCACAATTGCCATGGGCTCCTTAATTATTTAAAATTAATTAAATTATCTTTACTTACAACAAAGGGAATGCACCTAACCATACTGACATGAGGACCTTACTGTGGCATTATTCATATGCCATATCCAGATTCCAGTGGATACAGCAACTTTGCCTTCAGACTTTGCTGCCACTAAAAACTGCAGCAATAAACCCTCTACAACCCCATGATTGAAACATGGATGTAGACCCCAGGAGCAATATTTAATGCATGACAACCAATTGTTACTGTAACATAAAGCAACACATCAAGCTCAATCCCTGCTCTCCCTGCAGTCAATGGAAGTTTTTCATCATTCATCTAAATGGAAACAGGATTAAGCCTGTTATGTGGCCTCCAGTGAAATAACAGAAAGAAACATAAAACAAGTACAGCACAAGGGGAGTCCTTTTCTCCAAAGCACTTCATCAATCTTTCAAAACTTAAAATGCCCCCAGGGACCCATTGCTAGCTTGCTGTCTTACCCTAATTGGAGATGTACCTCCTTATGCCTGAAGACTCTCTACTCTTCCTACCCAAAAAAAGCACAATTGTACCACTGCTGCTTCAAGGGGCTTCCCTGACAGCAGTCCAGAAAATGTTTCTCTTATAAAGGTCAGTGAGAACCTCTCTATTACCCTCTGCAGAGTCCATTACTTCAAACATAGATCAAGCAACATTGGTTTCATGAAGCCCCAGCAAAGTTGTCTTGTTATTTTTGGGATCATACACCATTGATACTTACGTCAACTACACATAACAGGTAATAAATATGAGTTTTAGTCACACTATTGTGCAGTCACACTCCTTCTCCATGAGAAGAGTCTGGCAGATACCAGTATTCATACACAGAGTCAGGAGTGTAGCCTGTAGAACTTGCCTTATTTTCCTAAGACTACACAAAAGTTACTGAAAAATGGGTATGTGTTAGAGGAGATTCATCAAGCTTCAATTATCTTTCCAAATATTACTAATTCTCCTGTTGAATTTTTATGTTACATTAACATGCAAGTCATCAGAATCATCAAACCTGGGTTTCCACCAAGTAATCACTTGCAAAAAGATAAAAATTGCATCTTGGAGGGGTATTAATTACAACATTGTTCACGTTTGTGCGTAACATTTACTCCAATGCACTGCAGTATGCTCTAGGACAGATTTGATATTTATATGTGGAGGGGAAGGGGTTCTTCCTAGGCACCTCTTTATGCTCAAATCCTAATATCCATCCCTATCTATTCTGAAAGCGTTTTCTCCTCAGTGCTTTACATCTGTGAGATTGCAAACCTCTGCATCAAGACCACTTGTTTGCCTGAAGTTAAAGCAAATCTGTTTAACTTCACATCTGATAGAAGCTGACTGCACTGGGAAATCCTTTCTTCACAGATGGTACCTAAAATCCAGCATTCATTGTTGAGATTACAAATATTGTTTCAATATTAAAAAACTATAAATTAAAAAAAATGTATGTTTGCAGGCAATATTGTTTGCTTCATTTTATGTTACTCATTTTGACCCACTGTCTTCCACCTCTTCTGTTTAGCATTTGTCTTCACAAACTAGCAGATTAGCAAATTTGGAGTCAACCCTTCTTGAAAGGGTCGACTTTGACCCTTCTTGCCCAGCCCTGGTGAGAGCGGGCACCCAAGCCCCATGGCATGCTTGGGCTGGCTACACAGGTTTGCTGTATCCTCCTTGCTCTGCTAGCAGCACTTGCAGCCTCAAATGAGTCATGTCAAGCTTAAAGGTACCACTTTACGTACAGAGACTACTGCATTTGGGGAGAGCAGTTGGGGGTAGCAACAAGGCTGCACTTGGAGACAGTACTGCAGTGAAGGTGGCTTCATCCAGACATGACTCTCTTCTTGCATCTGTACAGAACTTGAAAACTGCAGTCCTTTCTCCATGGCTTTTAGTAAATTTATGATTACCAAACACTCATAGCCAAAAAAGAGCAAAGGAGTATGGAAAAGGTAACACAGGAAGTCTTAGAGAAAACTGGGAAATGAAATGACAGAAATAACAGAGGAGGTTGGGAGTTGGGGAGCCACAAATCAGGGAAAAGTCCTCCTGCTTCACTCTGCCTAGCCTACCACGTTATCCAACTATCCAAGCAAAAAGCTCAGGATGGAACCACAAATGACCTGGCATAGAGAATAAACAGAAAAAGGGAGTAAATCATAATGTTTGGAGGCAAGTCTTTGACAGAGAGGCTCTGAATGGTCTCCAAGGCTTTTTTCTCCTGTCCCAGACTGAGAAAAAGATGAGAGGCCAAGCTGCGCTCCTCTGTCATTGACCTGTTTTCTCTACGAACAAGGTATTTTCTTATGAATAAAACTTTTATGGAGCATGGTACTGAGTCGCTGAGCCCACCCCTGACCAGCCACCCAGTGCAGAGCCTGCTGTGGCACAGGGCTTTCCCAGCCCTACCCCGAACGCCCTGTCCAGCACCAGCCTGCCCAGAGGTCACCCCTCCAGCGGCAATGGGAGAGGT